AGATATATATATATTATATATATATATATATATGTATAAATACATATATTAAGTTTGAAACTTTGATATCTATTGAAATCAAACCACCTTTTTGAGAATTTAATTCGGCAAAAATTTCACACTCCTACGTCTTTATTGCTTTGTTACTCTTCTTTTGTGCAGCGAACGATTATCACAATTTCACGATTGAATCGTGAAATATATTAAATTTGTATGTGTCTAATTTAAGTGACTTGAAACTGGGAAAAAAGAAAAGGTTAATTCATAATAATAATATACTATGACTATTATTGTTACTACCATATTATATGTATTTTAAAGCAGATTGTATATTATGTTTTTTTAAAGAGATTTAGAGAGAACAAGGATAAGATGAATTAAACAAAAATTCGAAAAGTTGAAAGATAGATTGTGTAGATGTTGAGTAGAAATGAAAAAAGAAAATAGTAAAAAAATTGTGATTTTAAAGTTGAAATTAAAGAAGAAAAAATTTAAAGAATAGTTAAGGAATAGAAGAATATTGAACATCTAAAAAACAATAAAAAGAAAAGAAGGAAAAATATAATATTTGTAAAAAAGGGAAAATAAAAAGAAAGTTTAGAAAAAGGATTGAGTGTTGAAATATTTTATATTTATGTAAGTGTGAATAATAAAAATAAATTAAAATAAAAATATTAAGTTTCTAAATTGAAATTATAATATATTATAGACAGGTATAAATAAAATAATTTTTATAATAATAGTTTAATTTTTTAAAATAAAAATAATTTTAATTTAAAAAAAGATAGGATAGAGAAGTGATATATGTTAAAATATTTAGGAATAAAAAATTAAAGTTAAAGATAATTTTGTGTAAATGATTAAAAAAAAAATGAAAAAAATAAAAAAAGATGAAGGAAGAAGTTATTAATAGTGTTTAAGGATGTTAAAGAAATAGAAATGTGAAAGTAATGAGAGAAAAGTTAATAAGTTATTATTATGAGAAAATTACAAGAAAAATAGAGAATTGAATAGAGTTAAATGAAAAATACGTAGAAGTAATTTAGAAATAAAGAGAAGCGAAAAAGTAGGTGGGTTAATAACGGAAGTGTCAATTATGGAAATGAAAGACAAGTATATATATATATATAAGGGGTTCGAAACTTTGATATTCTATGAAATCAAACACCTTTGAGAATTTAGATTCGGCAAAATTTCACACTTCTCTTACGTCTTATTTCTTTGTTACTCTTTTTTGTGCAGCCGAAGATATCACAATTTGCTACGATTGAATCGTGAAATATTCATTTTGTATGTTGTCTATTTTACGTGCTTGACCTGGGTTAACCCTGACCAGGTTTAATTCATAATAATCATCTATCTGATATGTCTTGTTAATTCCCTATTCTTATGTATTTTACAGAGATTGTCTCTTATGTTTTTTTACAGAGATTTAGAGAGCAACCGGATCCGCGAATTGCATTCAAACAACTTGCAAGTGAAAGCTGAGCTTGTGTAAGTGTTGAGTCGGCAATTGCAAAACGACCATCGTACACAAAATTGTGATTTTACAGTTGCCCTTTAAAGCAAAAACTTTACAGACTTCTTTCGGAATCGCAGACTTATTGGAACATTAACAAAATAAAAGCAAAAGAAGGGACCATATCATTATTTGTACAAAAAGGGCAATCAAAAGAACGTTTAGTAAAACAGGATTGAGGTGGTTGCAATATTTTATATTTATGTACTGTGTGCATAATACATACATTTACATAAACATATTACGTTTTAACATTGGAACTTCTCTCTCTTCTCGCGGTTAGTACCTAACATGAATTTTTCTACTAATCGTTTAATTTTTTACACTCACCATTACTTTTCCTTTGCAAAACGAATAGGATAGAGAAGTGATATATGTTAAAATCTTTAGGAATACCAACGATTACAGTTGACAGCTCATTTGTGTGTACATGATTCAAACCCCACTGCAACAATACCACCAGATGAAGGCAGGAAGTTCTCTAGTGTTTCCGGATGTTACAGAACATAGACATGGTGGCCAGTAATGAGCGAAACGTTCATGCAGTTATTTCTTCTGAGAACCTTCCGAAGCCAAATCGAGAATTGGCCCTCGCGTTAAATGAAACGCTAGGTCGCGTCCGTCTTTAGCCATCCAGCGCAGAGCAACGTAAGGCTGGTTCAAGACGGACGGTGTATTTGCAGATGAAAGACGCATTGCCCTTCTCTGCGTCTCGCAGGATCCTCAGCTACAACGCGATCGAACAAGTGGAGAGCTGGGCCTTCAACGGATCGCTCATCGCCAAACTGTGAGTGTGACTGGCGCCGCCAGCACTGGCTCTGCATGCGCGGAAGGGCAAGGCTCAGGCGTCAAGGCCGGAGGAAACTGCCCAAGGGGGAAGGTTCAAGGTCGGGGGAAACTGTCCAAAGTGGAAGGTTCAAGGTCGGAGGAAACTGCCTAAGGTGGAAGGTTCAAGGTCCAAGTCCTCAGCCTATGATCCACGGTTTCAGGCTCAAGGACTATACCTAGATTTAGACTTCAAGGGTGAGCGGCCATATCGAAGTTTGAACGTTCAATGACTGTGGCACAATGGTCCCGCCAATTGCCAAGGTTTAGAGCCCAAGCCCGGAAGTGAAAGTTCTAGGATGGCAGCACTCTTGTGATAAGTTTTATTCAGAATACTTATCGATCTCCAATTACAAATATGAACAGTGATTAAATATTGGAAAATCAACATTTGACTAAAATTGCGACTTTTGTTCTGGGTTTGGAGAACTTGTTCCTTTGAACCCCCCCCTCTGTGCCTAGGATTGTGAGGTTCATCATTTTCAAATTTGTTACCATTTGCCGCCAAAGACTGACATACCATCGATTTAAGTTTGTTCTCGTTACTTGCGTCGTTCCCTGCCTGAGCGAAAATGGGATCTTGCGAATTCTCGGCGGATTTAATTTGACTGCGTCTTTATCTGGGATTTTTTACATGACATAATTATGAAAACAGACACTACAATGTATGCTCTTTGAAACTCTACCACCCAAAGCTAGTTTTGAATCTGAGAACTGGGATTTTTTAAATGAGTGCGCGCTTACCTATTTTAACACCGGGTTCGAATTGTTGAAAATGTTAGATCCTTCGTTAGGTTCTGAACTGTTAGATCCTGAAAATGTTAAAAAATTTCTGGACTGTGCCCTCCGTCCTTTATCTTCGGCCAGAACTTGCTCTTCCTCGACGTACCTTTCAATACACTGTCTTGCCCAGCAATAACTTGCCTCCCATTACTTTATTCTAATTTTTCTGTTCTATCTCGCCTGGTTTTCTCTCTTGCTCTTTCACGCCTTGCTGCGCTTTGCCTTTTTGCGGCCTGCTTTGCCACGCCTCAACTGAACTGGTTTAGGGTAGGGTGGATATGGGTTAGGGTAGATATCCAAGATTTCAAGAAAACGTACCAAGAAAACACGTCTCCCCACAGTATGTCACAGTTGTTGTACTGTTTCTTGACGCTAAGTAAGTCAATAATAAGAATGAAAGAATGAATGAATGAAAGAATGAATGAATGAATGAAAGAATGAATGATGAAAGAATGAATGATGAAAGAATGAAAGAATGAATGAATGATGAAAGAATGAATGAAAGAATGAATGAAAGAATGAATGAAAGAATGAATGAAAGAATGAATGAAAGAATGAATGAATGAATGAATGAATGAATGAATGAATGAATGAATGAAAGAATGAACGAACGAATGAATGAAAGAATGAATGAATGAACGAACGAATGAATGAACGAACGAATGAATGAAAGAATGAAAGAATGAAAGAATGAATGCGTGAATGAATGAATGAATTAATGAATGAAGTCTGTGATTGGTGTGCCCTGCCTTGCCCTGTGCCAGTCCAGACCAACCCTGTCTTTCATCTGGTTTGCCCCGGTCTGCTAACTATTCCTTGCCCTCTATTGCCCTGCACTGCCTGGCCTGGCTTTGGCTTGCTTTCTCTGCGCCGCTTTGCGGGGCTTCGAACCGCATGCGTGCGTGTGCCGCGTGTGTGCGAGTGTCGCCCCGCCCGTGCATCGTCTGCGCAGGAGCCTGCGCGGCAACCGGGGCCTGCGGAGCCTGGCGGCCGACGCCTTCGCCGGCCTGAGCGGCCTCCACGACCTGTAAGTGCCTCGCCTCCATCGCGCTTGTGCGTAGGGAAATTATTTTGGGATTGTGCTGAAGCATGTGGGTCAATTCACGTGTAGTGAAATGCGCCACATATCTAGCGGTGATTCAAAAAGTTATACGTGTTAAGCTAGTTGGTTTAAGAATGATGTAATTGATGTCATCTTTGTCATCTTTGATTTATTAAGACAGACGGTTTTCCGCGGCTTTGCTGTCAACATCAATAAGATAATTATCAAAATTAAATCTGGAAAAAAATAAACAAGAAGATAAATTATTATTTTTCTGAGATTTTGTATTGATTTTGTACATTTCAACTGCTCTAACTTTTGTGACGCGTTCATAGTATATACTACAGAACAATCGTGTTGATCACATACAGCACAAGACATTGACCAATAATTCAGTTTATGTCTATTTCTTCATTTTTCCAACCATTCTCACTGGCAGAGTTAATTCGTTTAAGGTCATTGCAAAACTGTGGTAAATACGAATTAACTATACTTCGCTCTTCCTGGTTTTCTGTATTGGGCTATTTATCATTGAATTTCAGTAGAAAATTCTAATTCTGCTTGTTAATAACATTTCCGTTGCCATGTTCTTTCCTCTAAATGCCTCACAACGCTGGTAATGAAATATTGAATTAAGATTGAGAATACGTTTTTTGCCTTTGTGTATTGAATGAAGACCGAGAAGGAACAGCTTTTTTGGTAAAATTCAAGTTGTAGGAACTAGAGACGATGGAGCTTCACCCTGTCCTTGTGATTTGCGGGCGCAGTCGCCCGGCTGCGATGATTAGGAGTAGTGTTTAGCGGCATACAACTAGAAATTCAGAGGAATAATTTTCTCTATCGTAACGATGTGCCAAGCCTTTATTCGGCATTGAACACGGAGTAATTCTCCTCGATCATAGTGATAAGTCATTAAAAATAGAGAAATTCTTCAACGTAGTCATTTTGTCATAATGCCAATGCCTTTGATCCGTATCATGCAGGGATGTTACCAGAGAGTCACCCGTCTATCTGAACGTCTCGCCACAAGAGAGTGGTACTTGTGTTATTTTAATTATACCTAGTGTTATTTTTGCTTCCTAATTTTTGCACATACTGATAAACGGTGAACATTTCACACTGAGGTCCTAGAATTCCAGTCCCAACTGTGGCGGATTTTTGAGACAACCTAGATCGAATTCAACCGTTGTCTGGAGGATAATTGAGCGACCGACTGCTCTGAGCTGTAGTTTTCCATAATTTCTCTCATCGCTATCAGGCGAATGCTGATACAGTACCCTAACAAACGAGTCACGGTCCGACCGCGAGAGATATTCTTTTCCTCTTTCTTGATCTTTTTCCGTTACTTACACGAGTACACACACATACACGCACATCACTACCACTATATCGGGGAACACGTCGGGCGCTCAGAACTTGTCCCTGCTGACGCGTGGCACGCTGGGAAAGATAATGGAGAGGAGCCGCCGTGTAGTTTACGCTGGATCTCACCTTCCAACAGGACAGGAACACCGCCAACGCCAGACAAAAAAATTCACAACACTATCGCTACTTATGACCGTCGGAGATGACGTGCCCGAAAACACCAATAGAACATTCAATCAATATTCGCGTGCCATTTGTAGTTCCCTTTCACGACACTACGGTACCGGCAGCGTATAAGCGACTCTGACAGTTCAATGCACTGTCGCCACACATTACTACACACATAGCACTACCTACATCGCGGATAAATTAAATTTTAAAACCTTATTGACAGGTTATGACACTTCTTAATATCTTTTTTTATTATTATTATTATTTAAGGTCGCATCAACTTTTAGGTCCTTAGCGACCACTATTACTTGTAACGGTATGGTAACTATTAGGCTGACACGATATGATGATGATGATGATGATGATAGGGGGAAAGGACGAACACAATACAATCATGCCCGAGGCGGGACTCGAACCCGCGATTCTTCGGTCCGAGATCGCTACGACAATACTGCCTTACCGATCTCGGCCACCGGATCAGTTCTTGATATCTTGTTCATAAATTTCGCCAAGGCCGAACCTCATCGCTTCCGCGACTTCGTGTGGGTCAGATGAGCGGCAACGCTGAAACCTGGCAGTGCGAATGTCAACAAACCCTCACAAGCTGAAGGCTTTAGAGTAGGTCACATGACTTACCACAGCGCATGGCGAGACAACTGTCAGAGTCTCTTAGTCGCTGCGGGGCCTGTAGTTGCGCTGATGTGCTCAAGGCTCCTGCTGCAGGGAAGCAACCTTCCCATCCCTGCATCCCTGAGGTAGTGCAGGGGCTGGCGCGGGCGGTGCTTGAGCGCGGGGGCGTGTCCGGGGCTGCGCAGGGACCTGTCGGAGACGGCGATTGCGGCGCTGCCCACGCGCGGCCTGCAGAGCCTGGAGGTGCTGCGGGTGCAGGGCACCGCCTCGCTCACCGTCATCCCGTCCATCTACAACTTCCAGGTGCATTTTACATTCTCTTACCCCCTCCCCCCCAATTACTTTTATTCTCATTTTCTGCTCAGGCTGTAAATCAACTTAGCGTTGAGATTCGTCACTTGCTATTTGTATCTACGATAGATATGGACAATAGGTTTTTTCGAACACTGCCTGTTGGATAGTATACAGTAAATTCGATATTATTATTATTATTATTATTATTATTATTATTATTATTATTATTATTATTATTATTATTA